CGAAACCAAGGACTGCCGATTCTGCACATTCTGCAGCAACAGGGGTCACACCTATGCAGACTGCCGCACAAGAATGCGTCAAGAACAACAGCAGAACGGTACTCAAGGTAAGCAATCTACCATCACCATAAATGCAATGAAACTAAATAATTATGCTGAATTAACATTTAATCAAAGCAATAATAACACTGACATACCCTTCTCTCTGCAAAATAACCCGCAGGCAACCAGCAATCCTAATGATCACGCAGACAAGACGGACATTATGAGCCACTTGGTCGAGTCCCTCGACACTAAAAACATAAACAATAGCATTAGCAACATAAACAACATAGACAATATAGAACTGAATACACAACATACACAATGTGCCATAACAATCAAAAATAATGCTACTGGTGTTAATCGCATTCCTGTCATACAACGAGTACGTACAAACCCCACGCCTGCCACAACGGTGTCAGTGCCAAGCCCTTGTTTGGATATGCGTTTAGATGTTGAAAAGGGGGGAGAAATAAAGGAATGTCAATCAATTCAGAACGCAAAGAAAGAGGAATTTGCATTAAGCAGTCATACAACAAACAACAAAGCCACCGAAGAAGAGCCGGAACTAATTTCTCTTTCGCGTGCCCATAAGTTTACAATAAAACAAGCACTTCACCTCCGCAACCAACAACAACTATCAAAGCAAGCAAGCACAAACAACCCAAGCATCACTGTCGCCTCATCATCCATTCTACCAGGATCAACACAATTACACAATAACATTCGGGCGATACGACTTGAGGACACCCTTTTACAGGAACTGCTAGGGAAAATGGATTCGCTTAGCTTCTACAATACAACAAACAATAAAACAATCACTTTGCGAGCACTACAAGCACCCAACATCTCCGACAGAGAAAAAAGAGTTCTCACTACCATCACATTCGAAGGAGAGAAGTACGAAGCACTAGTTGACACAGGAGCCACAGACTCTTGCATTCGTCGGGACATAGCAGAAAAACACAAAGTGAACATCAACCCAGTCGATGGAGTCATCACGCTCGTTGATCAGTCAATCACAATCCCAAGAACTGGAAGAACAGATAACATCGAACTACAGGTTGGAATTCACTATGTGTCAGCACCACTGGAGGTCATAGATCAGCAATATCCATTCACAATTGGAATCGATCTCTTCCACCGATTTGGACTGAGCATAACCGGACTACCTGACCCAGGAGCGGATGCTACAACTCTTCCAGATCCAGATCCGGACCACAAACCTTCACTCATACCAGGAAAAATTCCAAGTCAGGAAAAAACAAAACAATATATCAAAGAAAAAGAAACCTTCCTCAAGGCTATTGAAGGTGTACTAAAGGAGAATAAACAAGTTCCCGTCACCAGTCATTGTCCCGTTCCGGAAATGAAGGTATTTCTTCCTGTACCTGAAGGCACTGTGCTTTTTAGACGACCGCGTCCATTTGCAGAAAAACAAATTCCTATTTTCGATGAAGCAATCAGGAAATGGAAGAATGACGATGTAATCAAACTAGCCCCTGTAGGCAACGTCCATAACAATTCATTAACGCTAGCAGCAAAGAAAGATGCAGAAGGAAACAAAACACTATGGCGTGTGTGTCTTGATCCAAGACCCTTAAACAAACACCTACCAGACGACAATTATCCATTGCCACTTATACCAGATATTCTCAACCGCCTATCAGGCAACGCTGTGTACACCACGATCGATCTCACACAAGCATACCACAGACTACCAATCCACGAAGAGGACCAACCTCTCACGGCATTCATGCATAAGGGTACTCAATACATGTTCAAAAAAGCACCATTTGGTTTGAAGCCTCTGTCGAGTCTATTTCAGCGTGGAATGAACCGGATCCTCGGTGATCTACCGTTTGTGTGCAACTTTATTGATGACATCGTTATATTTTCACGTTCGAGAAAAGAGCACGCTGAACACGTAAAGATTGTAATTAAACGTCTCAACGAGGCAAAATTAATTATCAACCGCGATAAATGCAACTTCTTCAGCACACAGATCTCACTCCTTGGATTCCTTGTGGGTCTCCATGGCAAGAGTGTTGACACCAAGAAGCTTGTGAACATGCACAAGGTGGAATATGCCACTTGCGCCAAACAAATCCAATCTTACCTCGGAACGTGTAATTTTTTCCGTGAATATGTTCCAAACTTCAGTACGGTCGCAGCACCTCTAGATGCACTTCGCAGTCGAACCGACTCTTTCGTAATGAATGATGAGCAGAAGCGCGCCTTTGATGCACTACGAAATATCTTGCTCATAGCCCCTGTCTTGTCCTTCCCAGACTTCAGTCAACCTTTCTATGTAGCAACTGATGCTTCTAACGTCGGGATTGGCGCTGTACTCTATCAACTTCCAAAGGGTCCAAAGTACCCAGACACTATCAACTATATATCATTCATGTCGCGATCTTTGCAAGATCGTGAACGCAGATATTCAGCAACGCATAGAGAATTGTTAGCGATTGTCTTTGCGCTCAATCGTTTTCACTACTACCTCTGGGGAAGACACTTTGACTTATATACCGATCATCGTTCACTTGTATACATCCATACTCAACCTGAGCTCAACTCAATGCTCACCAACTGGCAAGAAACAATCTTAAACTATACTTTCACGGTGCACTATCGCCCAGGCATTCTTAACGTATTACCCGATGCCCTATCACGCCTATATCCAATTGAAATCACAAATAAAAATACAACTAAAGCTGATCAAAAGAAAATTATTTCCTACATGCATCTAATCCAAGATAAAGAAACTGAACGCAAAGAAGTAGATCCAGTTAAAAGAAACAATATATTGTTTACAACCCATGCAATGGGACATATTGGAGCAAACGCAATGGTCAATTCTATTCATGAACAAGGACTTGGCCTCATCTGTCACAAGAATGTGTCGATTTTATCAAACGATGCCGAGAATGTCAACGATTCAATATTGCACGAAAAGGATACCATCCTATGAAAGCCATCAATGCTCAACTTCCAGGAGAACACATAGCCATTGATCTGGCAGGTCCGCTTCCGTTGACAAAGAACAAAAACGTCCGACTACTTGTAGTTGTTGATGTTTGTACGCGATTTGTTTTCTTGCGCGCCTTGCCAAACAAAAAAGGTCTAACTGTAGCCACTGCGCTATGGGAATTATTCTGTTTGATCGGCTTTCCTAAAATACTTCAATCTGACAATGGTGGAGAATTCGTCAATACAATTACAAAACTTTTGACCACAAAAATGTGCATCGACCATCGTCTTATTACCCCTTGAAAAATATAGCGTACCTTGGAGTAAGTGAGAAAGAAGATGGGGGTTCGTTTATTACTAAGTCTAGGGTTTAAATACTAAGGGACACTGCCCTTAATTATCTCACTGAGTACGCTTCTTGATAATGTACAGTCACGAAAATGCGACACTCTCACGTAACACGCTGTTTTAAAAGGTGTTGACAGATATTATTATACAGCAGTTCATGGTTGGCGGAGCGGGACATGGACGGCCTCCTTCCTGAATCCTAATCTGGTGGTATCCGGAACGGAGGTCGAGTTTACTGAAAACCTTGGCATTGTGGAGACGGTCGAGCAACTCGTCGATTCGGGGCAACGGGTAGGTGTTCTTGACGGTTTGTTTATTCAGGGCACGATAATCCACGCACATGCGAAGATCACCTTCCTTTTTACGAACAAACAGGACGGGGGCATCATACAAAGACTTACTGGGACGGATAAAGCCATGGAGAAGAAGGTCGTCTAATTGCTTCTTCAGCTCATCCATTTCTGTTAGGGATAATGGATAAGTAGGCTTGGACGGCGGAATGGAACCAGGGATGACCTCAATTTTGTGATCGACGGTTCTAGATAGAGGTAAGACATGAGGGAGCTCACTGGGAAAGACTGAACTGTACTTTTCGAGTATTGCTTGTGCGGCGGAGTGGTGCTTGACTGGGGGTAACGTGGAAGACGCTTCGTCGGCAGGCTGGACAATACAGAGAAATGCTTGATCTTTATCGAGGCAATGCTTAAACTGCATCGCGGACATGACAGGAGTGTGGATTGGTTTGACATAACCTTGAATGAGGACGTCAGGATCGATACGGATGGTGTGCTGGTCGAAGTCCACAATGGGCTTTGGAACGGATCTTGCGAGCCAGCGTTTGCCTAGAACGGCTTCGAATCTTGTTTGGATAACATTGAACTGGAGAATCGGCTGGAAATTATCGGCTAGCTTGAGACGGATATGACAATAACGGGAACAAGTGACGGGTTGACCGCCACCAAAGGCAACCACAATTGGCACCTTTTTCTTGGACGTAGGGATACCGAGCGAACGAACAATCTCATAACTAATGTAATTGGCGCTCGCTCCACAATCGACTAGGACATCTAGCTTGTAGTTCTTGATATGACCAGCAATATACATCAGTTGCTCGTCTTCTGGCTCTTCGGGTAACAAGGGACACTCAGACGATACGGCATACATGGTCGGCGCGCTGAACGAGGGAGATAAAACGGACGGGGAAAACGATGTCGACCCACCAACCGGTGGCGACGGAACAGTAGACGGAGACGATGTCGACCCATTAAACAATGACGACGGAACAATAGATGGAGACAGAATAGACGGTGTGGACCCATCAAACGATGGCGACCGGACAGTAGACGGAAAGGAAACAGACGGTTTTAATGATGCGAACGAAATTGATACGACGGATACCTATTCCATCGATGAAGTTATGCTCTCTGGAGTGGAACTAGGTTCTTGGACAGTAATAGTCCCATTCAAAGCCCCAGAGCTCTTTAATGGGACTCGGCCTTTTCCGGCTTGGAGTTCTTGTTCTTGGGACAGTCGTGACTTTGATGACCGGGAGCATGGCACTGGAAGCAGGTGCGGTTTTTGAGGTCCAACTGCTGCTGCTTTTTCTTGTTTCCGAACACAGCGTCCAACTCCATAGGCTAAGGAAAGGACTCGGGCTGGGGATGGTGTTTGACGGTATACGGCTGGAACTTGGAGGCATTATGGAACTGCTCGTTATCGAGACATTCGGCAATGTTCATCATGGTTGAGAGATCAGTACGGAGATTGGGATTTTCGGCAAAATGCTTACGGATCTTGGGCTTGAGTCCCATGAAGTAATAGTGCATGGCATCAGTTTCACCGAGATCGTCGAGGGCGGAACGGATGGTCTCGGATTGGAGATTGTACTTGGTGACAGAACCGCGCTGCTTGAGGGTATGCAGCTTTTGACGGGCAAAGAGCGCAGAATTGCGGCTCTGGAAACGTTGGCACATAAGGTTTCCAAAGTGTTGCCATGGATCTTGGTCTTTAGGAGCGGCAGGGATATGGTCGGCCCATTTGGCAGGAAGGCCATCATGGTTGCTGCGAGGACGCGGTCGGCGAAAGAAAGCTTCAGCATCTCGAAGTAACGATTGACTTTGGTAAGCCAGTCTTTGACATCTTCATTAGCTTTAGCCGAAAACTTGGGTGGAGCAACCGTACCTAGGAAAGACTGGAAAGCGGAATTATCGGACATGTTGACAATTTTTGACAGATGGGGTTAGCGGCCTCTCCATGTGCAAAGGATATAATAAGGCATATACAAAATATCCAAAGCCCAAGGAATACAGTGTTGACTTCCATAGCTGATGTATCTCTCTAAAGTCAGCAATAGAACATGAAATAAAATAGCAATAGATAGCACATGTTTTTTTAAAATGTAATCTCTCCCTGTATTTCACGACAAAATACAGCTGAGGGTACAGGTGCTTTAGATGATCACATACAAGAAGTACTACCCTTAATCTCGCAGTGAGGGGTACAGTTTAATAGTAGATGGACACATTCAAGAGATTGGTGTGCGAAAAATAAGAAGACTTTGTTGTTTGGAGAATAGGTTGGTGTTTAGTAGGATAGTTATGCAAGGAATGTTACAGTGGTTGTTTTACATGGTGAATATTATACATACACTCTCCTCTAATGGTCGCTGTAGATATTGTCAAGGTCTGTAGAGATGTAACATATACCATATTACAATTTGGACTTGAAAGGCCTCCTTAGAGGAGAGCGACGAGGAAGGTGTTTCGAACTTCCTTTGCTACCATGTAAAGGATTTGAGGGCATTGTGTGCTTTTTTGAGTGTTTAATAAAAAGTGAGTTATAAACTACTGAACTATCTAAGTACTGACTATAACTATTTATGTATGTGTTGCGGGGCCGGCTTACTAATCATGTGTCAGTATTGCATCATGGACCAGGCTTGTGACCTTATCCTATAGTTCGAAGTAGGACTAGTCAACATAACGTAGTCTGAATGTATACCCAGTGAACCATAGGCGGTGGCCCATAGTCATGTGTACCCAGAGTGGAACTCTGACAATAATACATCCACTTCTCTTACTTCCACTCCTCGTAAAGTTGCATGGTAGCAAAGGTTCAACAATCCACTGACCAGACCCCAGACCCCCCAGTACAAACCCCTGATCCCTCTAGTTCCCCTGACACCTCGCCCAGCACCTCTTTCATCCCCTCGCCCTACTTCCCACCCATGGACATATACTTTATCACTGATTTTTTATTGGAACTCACCATTATGCACGACGACAACCAATCCCTTGCCACCATTATTGAACTCAACACCACCTCCAAACCCGCCAAGTATAATGGCACTCGTGATGATTTCAAGTGCCTTGCCTGGTTGAAGGAGGTGCAACGCTACTTCACCATGAAGAACATACCCAACAGGAAGCGCACCATTCATGCCGTCAACCTCCTTAACCAAACCTCTCTCCTCTGGTGGGAATCCCTTAATATCGACAACACCTGCGAGTACCTCACCTTTACCACCTTGTTCAAGAAGGCATATATGCCTGATGGCTTCCTCGAACATGTCCGCGGCCTTCTACTCAATGCCTAGCTCACCACCAATCTTGCCGAGTACCTTACCCGCATTTGCCTCTATATGAACATTTTACTTTCAGAGGATTCCACTGGCCGAGTTTTCCTCGAAACAATCGTCAGAGTCGTTTTTCTCCAAGGCTGCCCCGACGACGACCTGAGGCAATTACTCCAGACCGATCAGGTATCTAACCCCAATAACACTTTTTTCGACATGTGCTCCAAGGCTGAAGGATTTCCACCCATCACTCGCGCAGAACTAGGCAAACTATTTTATGATCACAAGACCGATGTCACCAATACAGTAAGTGCCATCTTCCAATCAACTACACCTTACTCCAGCAATAGCTCCCCTTCGAGGCCAAAAGTAGCACCCCCTGCAGTCTTCTCCGGCAAGCGTGAAGATTGGAAAGGGTTTCAGGCTCAGCTGGAACTCTTCTTCATTGCAAACGAGACCCTCTATCCGAACGACCACGACCGCATTGTGCTGGCTATCTCGCGCCTCGGTGATACTGCAGCGTTCAAGTACATGCAGAGATACGTTCCATCCTTTAAGTTGCCTGTCGAGGAGAGACCCGCATGTATTTCTAACCTGGATCAGTTCTTTGCTCTTATGAGTAAGAACTTTGGAGTCTCCAATGCTCACGTCCTAGCAGAAACCCAACTCCGTCAGCTTAGACAGCGCGGTTCTGCCATCGACTATACAAACCGTTTCGTCAACCTTGCAGCGGATACAGCATGGAATGATAGCGCAATGATTTCACAGTTCCGCCTCGGCCTGAAGGAGTCTGTTCAAGAAGCCATGGCAAACTACCCCGAGCCAACTACCTTTGCCGAGTTTTCACAATTGGCTATCGACATCAACAACCGACAGTACGGCTATGCAGTGACCCGTTCCGGCAACAAATCTTCCAGTACTCCGTCCCGCTCCACCACTGCCCACACTTCTACTACCACTCAAGCCTCATCCACCCCAGCTACCGCGTCCACCCCTGCTGCCTCAGCTCCCGCGACCACTTCGATGGACATGGATCTCTCGCATGCTCGCCATGGTCCTTTGCCACCGTCTGAGCGTCTTCGTCGTCAAAAGGAAGGACTGTGCACCTACTGTGGTTCAGCAGATCATTGGCTTGACGACTGCCCCAAGAAACCTGCAAAGCCCTCGTTCAAGAACGCCCCAAAGGCAACAGCCTCGATCTCGGCCCTTCAGCCTACACAGACTAGCGACCAGCCCGATGCAATCTCTTTCCAATTGGAAAGAGATTCAGCCTAGACAGTAAAGTTGGAGTGCGTCTGGGCGAACTGTATAACAAATCTCCAAATGATCCTCTGCTATCCCCTATCACTATTCCAATCACGCTCCACTTCCAAAACTCCTCACTACCAGTCCATGCAATGATCGACTCAGGAGCAACCATTTCATTCATTCATTAAAATCTAGCAAAACAGCACAATCTCCCACTAGCACAACACTTATTACAAATCTCTCTTGCCAATGGTTCAACACATACCTCTCATCACGCCACCACATTGGTTATGCAATCCCACTCACAACACTTTTCCACACACACCTTTCAACTCATTGCACTTGGCAATTATGTGTAATAGGAGCAGAGCAAGAGAGAAGAGGCAAGGGTGATGACAAGGAAGGGAGGCAAGAGGCAAGGATAATAGCAAGGGAAAGAGACAAGAGGGTGTAGGGACAAGAGGAAAGGGCAAGAAGGAATGAGGTTTATTGTACAGAAGGGACAGGGTATTTATACGTCTATGGTATGAGGGATGATGGTGAGGTAATAATAAGCAGGGGTAGTGTGTAAGACAGACACATAAGATATTAACAAGGAAGTAAGGAACAAGGCAGCCAAAAGCAGGAGGCAATCTAAATTTACAATCCTGTTACATTATGCCATCATTCTTGGCATGGACTGGCTCCGCTCACACAACCCATATATCGACTGGGAGAAACGAACCATTACTATGCCATGCCTCCATCAGCACACACTCGACAAGCTTTCCCCCTTTGCACAATCAACAATGCCTCGATCCATCCCTGCCTTCCAGGAACAAGACCGAATCCTTCTGTCACCTTCCAAACCCAAATCCACTTTGGTTCCCACCAAGTACACCTCAGGATCCAACCAACTATCCAAATCCGCCAAGAACCAATCAGCAACCAACATCTCCATTATTAGCAATGCACAACTCCGTCAGATCCTCAAGACCAATCAAGGAGTCGGATACATGCTCGACGTCTCCCGAATCGAAGAACTCGCCAGCGCAACCACCAACGACAACTCTATCCCTGAATCAAAACCCACAGTCCAACTGCCCGAGAAATATGCCGAGTATGCTCAAGTATTCTCCAAGATGCAAGCCGACAAGCTACCGCCACATCGACCCTATGATCACAATATCCCTGTGGTCGAAGGAGCCACCGTGCCATTTGGACCGGTATACAACCTATCACAAACGGAACTGCAAGTTCTACACGAATATATTTAAGAAAACCTTGCAAAAGGGTTCATCCGTCGATCCGAGTCTCCAGCTGGCGCCCCCGTCCTTTTTGTTAAAAAGAAAGATGGTTCCCTCCGCCTCTGTATCGACTATTGAGGCCTCAACAAGGTGACTGTCCCCAATCGATGCCCTCTGCCGCTGATCTCCAAAACTTTCGACCGACTAGGCAAAGCCAAGTATTTTACCAAGCTCGACATGCGAGGAGTATACAATCTTCTCCGCATCAAGGAGGGCGACGAATGGAAGACGGCATTCCGCTGCCGCTATGGCCACTTCGAGTATACAGTCATGCCCTTCGGACTAATGAACGCTCCCGGAACTTTCCAAGCTTTCGCCAACGACGTCCTCCGCGATTACCTAGATGACTTTGTCGTGCTATACATTGACGACATTCTCATCTACTCCGACACCCTTGAGGAGCATACCGCGCATGTCCGCAAAGTTCTCAGCAAGCTCCAAGACGCTGGTCTATGCTTAAAACTCGAGAAATGCTCGTTCGACAAGGACAAAGTCGAATTCCTCGGCTTTATGATCGGAACTGACGGTATTTCTATGGACCCCGCCAAGGTTGCCGCCATTCGCGATTGGCCCACTCCCTCTTCCGTTTCGGATGTCCAGTGCTTTCTGGGTTTCTCCAACTTCTACCGTCGTTTTGTACGGAAATACTCCCATATCGCCGCGCCTCTCACCGCGTTACTCAAGAAAAATACTAACTTTGTCTGGACCGCTATCGCACAAGCCGCTTTCACGGAGCTCAAGTCACGCTTCATGTCTGGCCCCGTCCTTCGGCATTTCCAACCAGATCGCCCCTGCATCATTGAAACTGACGCTTCTGACAAGGCCCTCGGCGCTGTCTGCAGTCAGCGTGACCAAGATGGACGCC